ACCTGAATGTCCCTCTCTGCTGTCAGTAACCTGCTGTTGGTTAAATCTTTCTGGTCTTTGTCTGCCGCCGTGCACCTAGCATTAACCAGCTAGAACACACACATACACACAAACAACAGGCAGTGTGTCAACACGAGGAGAAAAGAGGGGAGAGAAAAGGGGACGGAGGGTGGTGAAGGAGCAGGGAGGGGCTGTCAGTGGAGGAAAAGAAGAAGCTGTTTACAGCCATGAACTTCAGTGGAGGATGTCACTGAGGAGGAAAACATGCAACATGAGGGAAAATTTTATCAATATTTGGAAATTAGATATCTTACATCGAGGACTTCTATATTTTTGTTTTTGATTATCTTTTGTAAATTTGCAGCTAGTTTTGTTTGTTTTCAGATTTGACTGGGCTGTATCTTATTTTTAGCTAAGTCGGTCTTAGTAACTAAGATTAAAATATTCTTGTATGATAGGATATATTATTAGTGTTTATTATGTTATAGAAAAGTTGCACGCTGTTTCTATAGCCTTGCCATTACCTTGCTGTTCTGCAGCAACCGTGTGAGATGCTCAAAGCAGTTACTGTTGAGAAAAATGGCTTGAAGAACAGGTCTGTCTGAACACAGGAACATCTCCCTGATTGTGTCTGTGGGACAGAGAGATACACAATCAGAAGAAAGACTTTAAAATGTATTTTCAAGGTTTCATAGGGACCACTGGTTCAACACTTCTGTCCAAAAGTACAGAAGGAAAGTGTACTCAAAAACTTAAAAACACAATCCATACAGCTATAAAGTATAAATGTGAAGACATGAAACTGTGAGCCGTAGCTTCACATAAAAAGATCTTACCTAGCATGTGAACTTGCAGGGCCACAAACCGACTCTCCCAGTGTCGGCCCAGTGTTGGCACTCGGCCCTTGGCCTGTTGCTGCTGCTGTCGTGCAGCTACTGCAGCTGCTGGGTCTGAGTTAAGCAGCTTGAAGTAGTTTTCCAGAACCGAGGCAATTTCAACCTGCCGCTGGTCAGAGCTGGACACCAGGAGGCGCTGCACCACCTCCCTCAGGCAACCTAGGGTCAGCAGGGCCTTGCGGTCGGGGGACTCACTGTCCCAGTCCTCACCCTCTTCAGAAGAGCTGCTGCCCAAGGAGCTGTCAGTTAGCAGCCGTATCAGAACCTCCATGGTGGCTGGAGAGATGGCCAGAACAGCGTTTTTCTGTGGAAGACAAGAGCAGTGAACAGGAAAGGAACAGATGTCCTTAAAATTATATCTTCAGGGTTTTTTACATGTGTGGTGCACAATAGTTTTCCAAACAAGAAAAGGAAGGGGCTGTCTTTGAAAACATGGCTGCTCAGTGGACACTCGTTCAATAAAACTTCAGCTGAAGTCTACAACACTTCAGCAATATTTCTCTGAGTCTGTCTGTACCTTATATGACCATGTTTCACTCCAGGTAATTCAACCTTAGTGTTTATTTAAGTAAACATTTTACCTGATCACCTGCTACAATGGCTCCAAACAGGTGTAGTAAGCAGCATTTTAAACTTTCCTTCAGGTGTTCACTCTCCTGGAAGCACTCTGACACGCACATACACACAAACAAAATTTATCAACATGTGAGGGTAATCTGTACATATGCAAACAGAACTGCTATAAATACTTTATTTAGATCTCAAGATAAACCAAATAACAATGACACAACCTTTAAATTAACACTACATACATTCCAAAACAAAGAAAACACAAACAGATTCTAGCAATGACCTTCAGGTCAAACTGTGGGTCACGGTCATTTATTTACTCCTCTGTCAATACATCTGATTGGCTCTGATTGGCTCTCTTTTCAGTGTCTCCTCTCCTGCTTCTCCCTCGACTCTTTAGTTATTCTTGAGAACACAGATGTTTACTAATTTAATTTGTGACCATTTGTTGCTAATTTAAATAAATTCCCTGTAGGCATTCTTAAAATATCACCAGACTTACGGTAAAAGAAGGGAACAAACTCCACAGTGAGCGGAGCAGCTTTGAATTTCTGTCTGCTCTTCTCCACTGTTCCCAGCTCCTCCCTGAGGAAACATCATACAAAGACACACAAAAAAAACAAATGGTAATGAAAAGGATAAATAGGAAGACTAAGAACAGCTTAAGGCTAGTCAAGCAATAGGTAAACCATTTGCTCAAAAACTATTTAAAGTCGTAAATGCCAAAAATATTTATTGGTACAAACAAAGCAGCAGAAAATGGCGTCGTTTGTAAAGTAAAGAAATCATGTACTGGTGTTTTTTTTACCTGCAGATTCCATGTCTCCAGTTTCTGTAGGGATCATAGAGGCTTTCACAGAAAGCCAGAGCGTGACGTACAAACTCTTCCGCCTGACTCTGATCCACTAGCTCTTTTTCTTTGGTTTTGACCTTCAGCTGTGTCCAAACACACACAAGACAGTGATCACTGTAAACATTACACTTGTGTTACATATGTATAAAATGTCATCCCCAACGATGGAAAGTGGTAGAGGAGTCACACCTGCTGAATGTAGAGTGTGGTCATGGTGATGATATGGTTGATGTAGGAGCATGTACCAATCTCCTCTACGTTGGCAAGGTTCCTTTTAGAGAAACAAAGACAGGACTAAACCTCGACATCCAACCCATATTCATATAGTTGTTTTTGATGCACCGACCTGCAGATGATAATCAGGAACTTCAGCAGCAGCAGAGCCAGGTTCTGCTGCTCCGGCTCCAGGCCGTCAGATGCCTTCTGGACACACTGCAGTAGCTGGTGCCTCAGAACCTGAAGGATGTTGTCAGGAAGGAGGGTTAACACCGGGGGGAGCTCCTCTGGTCTGAAGGCAACAAGAAGAAGAATGCATTCAACTAGTATATAAACTAGGAGCAGTGAGCTTCACCAAACAGGGAATCCTCCATCACCAGCCCAACACTCATAGGCTGCCAAATAAATTCCAATAAAACAACCAGCAGTGAAAAGCAGGGAATCCTGCAGACCACATTCAAAGTAAATATTATAGTGAATTATAATCTGTGTCTTTAACAAACACATTAAGCAGTTCCTATTTAAAACACCCTTTTACATGGTACCCAGTACAATAACAAAAATCAGTATTCCATTCTGTTCTGCAGAGTTTTATGTCTATGACAATGACTGTTGAACCAGAGGCTACAGTTTCTCCACAAGCTTAAAACTATTTCTCTTCTTCAAGGTATTGGAAAAAGATATAAGTGCTTTACAGACTACAGTTTGCAGAAAATTATTATATATTGTTTCTTATGCCACAGACATATTTTACTGAGTTTGCATTGTAGATGTTACACTTTTTAAAAAAAGCAAGAATGCAGCTCCAGTGAAGTTGACTTTTTACCTGGAAGGAGGTTTTTCAAAGTCCACATCCAGACATCGCTCATAGGGGCTGATGAAAATCTCCAACCATAGCTTCAAGTAGTCTGGATCTCTCTTTTCAATCAAAGCACAGACACACAGATATTTTTTAGGTCATAAACTTGACATTTTCATAGGGTTTATTCATACACAGAAGCAGGACATCCCAAGTCTGTTTATTTTTTTATCTTTTCCCAGGATCTGAGGCTTAAATGCACAGAACAGGCTGAACCACATTCTGATCTGCATTTCTCAAATTCCTGGAACACAAGACAGAAGCAGGAGGCCAGATTGTCCTGACAGAGGGACGTCTGTCCCCAACTACGCTTTTATTAAAAACTGTGTTTTCTACCCATAGCTGTTAATTATCTCTTGTACATTAAAAATCATTAACTGATATATATATATATATATATACACACACAGTATATATATATAACTCATTATAGTTAAATGTAAAATTATAAGATAAACATATATGTTATATGTTTTTCTTCAAAGCTATTTTTTTCCTGATTTACAGGGTCATATTTAATCTTTTTCCTGTCTGTGACTTAAAAAAAAAAAAAGAGTCTCATCACATGTGACCAGCAGATGTTTGGCAAATTTTTTCTTCAGAGAAGACTTGGATTAACTTTTTTATTGAAGATAAACACAGAATTTTTTTTGCTAATATAGCACACTAGAGCAGAATAAGTTTTTTTTATAGTGTCTAACAATGTAGGCCTCCCTCCAATGGGCACAAGGTAACTGACCTTAAAAACTGTTCCCTCCTGATTAACTTACATAGAACTTGCACATACATTTGGACACAAGTGCTGCACATGCCAAAACACAAACTGACTCAAACTGCCATTATACATAGTAACATGCAAGTTCTCAAGTTGCAAAAATTGAAGACATTTTTTGTGCTTTTTTTGACAGAAAACAATGACAAGAAAATGTATGTCCAACAACGAAAACTTTTATTATACTAATATTGTCGTTCTTCTTCAATTCCCTGTGGTATTTCAACACAGAAAATATGAAAAATATAAAGATGTAAAGAATAAATAATTACGGTATCTATGTCTTAGCACAAAGTAAAATTTTGGTCAATGCGAGAAATAAAATAAATTGTCACAGTTTTTCTTGTTCTACAATTAACTTCTTTTTTGTTAATAAACTCGCGGTCAGAAAAAACAACTGCCTTTCCTCCTCATTATTTTGCACCTCCCCAAAATTACTCTGGTTCCCCCCATGGGAGGCATGACAAGAAGTGATGATAAGTAGTAGTAGTGAACCAATTGTCGAAACATGAAAGAAAACAAGAGCAAATGTTTACACAATTTTTTCTGATTTCTTCAACAAATTTAGTTCAAATTGAACAAGATAAACAAAATGGCTAAAACCAGGCCCCAAAAAGCTACTAGTCAATATACTAATAACTAAAAATTAGTTAAAAGTGACTACGTTCCAGCACAGAAATAGCTAAAATAACATAATAAATCTCTCCCCAAGTAACTGCCACAATAATAAAAATAATTATCATTATAAGAAGAGAATTGGTGTTTTTTGGATAAAAGGAGGAAGCAAAACCACTTCTGTCTGCGTGTCAATGCTCGGAATCAGACAGGATGTAGTAAGAAGCCAGGAATAGGAGACGGGAGGAAAGAAAAAAAATAGGGATAGAACGAAGAAGAAAGAGACAGAGGGAGAGAGCGACAGTTAAATGAAACAAACAAAAGGCACGTGTGAATCATATGTTCAGTGGACAAATGTATATTTATTTTCTGGACATCTTTGACTTGTATCAGGTTATAATCCTGGGGTTCAGAACCACAAGGCATTCGCTATTAGTAATACCCTAATCCTAACAGTCAGCAGTATTTTCCTGTTGCTGAATACCAGACTGCAGTGGTTTGGGCTGATTTTTGGTGTTAGTTTGAATTGAATCTTTGCAGCATCACTATGCCTACAATCATCATTAGTTTGTATTAGCTCACTAGGTATTAGTGATTGTGTACAATTATATATATATATATATACATATATATGTATATATATATGTATATATATATATAATCATAAACATCATATCAAATGCTGAGCAAGCTATATTATAATTTTAACAACAGAGTAAAGTCAAATGATGATGCCATTTGCCAACAAATAAGGTCTCTCTGCCTGCAGATGAGAAATGTTGCTGGTCACTAATTTCAGAGTTGCTTAAGTAGCCAAGCAACCAGAGCAAAAAAGTAAAGTAATGAATAACCCCAATGACTTTGGAAGCTTTTGTAGAAACCCTGAGAAACATGTTTGTTACGTTGTTGTGGTGACTCTTTTAAGCACAAGAATATTGGGTAATTGTGAGGGATGGGACACGCCAGATTGGGTGACGCCTGGGGAGTGTGTCAGAATTCCTACATGGATCAGTAGAGCCATGTGGAGCACAGGGTGTGTCCTCCCTGTCTGTCCACAGTCCAAACCCTCAATGGGCATCTGTGCGACTGCTACTGCTGCTGCATTCAAAAGAGGGCATTCTTTTACACAGACACACACACAGAGACACACACGCTGTGTCACTGCTCCCAACAAGGGCACTTATTAGAGAGTGTGGCTGCCCTCAGACGGTTACACCCACATGTATGTATCAAGATGAAAGTGTAAGTGAAGTAAAAGCACCATGCAGATGTAGCAGAGCAGATGCAAATGAAAGTTGGGTTTATATATATATATATATATATACATATATATATATACATATATATATAAATATATATATATATATATATATATATATATAATCACTGTGACTATATCACACAGTTAAATGAGTAATTCAACAAGTCTGAGATATACAAGCTCACCATCAGTGAAAAAACACTGCCAAGTTCTGGGTAGGCCGAGTAATGCATTAAATAGGTGTGTGCTGTGGTTACTTGTAGTCAAGTGGTACTTTAATGATGCCTTGCATAACTTGCAAATGACGGTTTCTCATGATGTTATTTTTCTGTTTTTTCATGTAAACCCAAAACACTAAGCAGCCAGCCTCTGACAGCCCTATTCAATATGTATTCTGTTGGTATGGATTGGTTACATTGTTGCCACTGACCAGAGGAGGCAGCAGGTTCTTTCCATGACCTTTGTAGAAGAAACTTCTAAAGTTGTTTTTCTGTGACCCAGAAACTTTCCAGAAATGTTTCCTATGTAATCTGGTGTGGAAATCGTTTTTACCTGCTCGCTGTCTTAACATTGGCATAACACTGAATATGTTCTTATTATAATTAAATTACTTTAAAAGAACATAAAACAAAGTACATGCTGAGGATAAATTAGTTAATTTTAGTAATAACAACCATGATTACTATCTTACTACTATTTTTATTACACTACAACTATATAAACCCCAAGACCTAAATTTATGGGCTACTAAAAACAATTTCTTTAGATTCATATTGATGCATAATGTGCAAAAGCTGCAGACTTTTTGCTCCACCCCTTCAAAAGAGCGTTGCTGTGGGTGACCTGGTTGCACCTTAATGTTCGTCGTTCAGTATTGTCTATGTCTGTCAGCGCACGGGAAGGCGAGGAACGTAATTTCGATACCTCTGTATGTTCTGTACATCTGAAGGTATTGACAATAAAGCTGACCTTGACCTTGACCTTGATAGACTAGTGTGGAGTCACAGAGGCCACTTCCTGTCTGTGTTTAACTGTGGTCATTTCTACAGCTGAAAGTCCGTCAGTCAGTCAGTCAGTCAGTCAGAGACGATGACTCCTAAGGCTATGATGTCATAGTTAGGAGTATTTATAGATACACAGTTCTGGGCGGGACTAGTCAGTGACATCATGTTATTCCAGAGATATTCATAGCCCCAGAAGAAAAATGAGAGGCAGGAGGGAATAACAGAGGACAGATGGGGAATATGACAGAAAGGAAAAAAAAAGCCAGAGTAAGTCGAGCATGCACAGCAGCACATTAGCCAGGCCTGTGTGTGTGTGTGTGTGAGTGCACGTGCGCAAAAACAGAGATTAGACTGTAACATGCAGCAGAGCAGAGAGGAAGAACCAGGATGTGAAAGCGTGGCACTTTCTCCTCCTCCATCATTTCCTCCCCTCACTGACCAAACCATTAGTCTGATTAAAGCTGGGGTAGGCAACACACATCTACTTGCCAATCAGTAAAGTCATTGTAATCTAATAGCATTTAAATTTGTGCACTTTTCAACATTTTGTTAACCTTAATAATTATTACACGTTCAAGTGTTTTAACCATTCACCTAATACTCCTCATCTTCACTATAAATTGTAAACACATTACAGAACCTAAAGCACACTGCACAACACCAACTAAGAACAAACACACCTTGATTATCATCTTTGATCAATGATCGACCAGTTCAGGAAATATTCCTCACATAGCAGCAGCAGGACGTAAGTGATGATCAAGTGAGTTATCATAAACTAACAGAGATAAAAACTGACAGAGAACAGGATGGGTAGGTTTTGTCATTACACACAGTACTGTCAACAGAGAGAAAGACTCTTTGTTGTCTCCCACCAGCAGGTCAGCTCATGTGTGTCCACACCTCACTGTCACTGTTGTCAATTATTACCCTGACACGAGACAAAGGGGACAGTAAGACATTATCCTCCTACTTTCTACTTTCTCCTACTTATGAAAGTGGTGTTTTTGTACTTAAACCAATCAAAAAGAAATTATTTATTCTTCTAATTTTGTAAATGTAGATGCAAGTCCATATGCATTAACAATTGTTAATATTTGGGTGAGGAACATAGGTTAAAAAACCTCATCCATATGGGCATCACATGATCTCAAAGTTTGACAGTTTTGACAGAAAACCTTCATCTGTGAACTTTTCACTGACAGTGTAGATGTTCCTGTTGTTCAAGTGCAGGTGAATGACTAGAGTAGAGACAGCAAATCTTGAGTCAGCTGTTGGCTGTTTCATTCCCTAAGCTGCAGCATCTTGACGTCCTTACGTCCAATCAAAGCTGGCTGCCAGAGCCTTTGTTCACGTGAGCCAGGCTGCAGACGCACACTCAGTAATCCGTCATAAACACACACACCGTTCATGTAGGAAATAATCTGTTTTGTGGTTCTGTGTCTCCAGAATGACCAGCTACTCCAGCAATGGCTGTGAATAAACACACAGACACACTACTGTATGTGATTTATATAAGGGCTAGGTGTGTTTGTGTGTTTGTTTACATTGACTAAGTATTAAACTGGTTGCTTCAGTTCATTTTAGCTGTGTCCTCTGCTCGAGGCCAATGCTCTTCGGTCAGAAAATGTCAGGCATGACGGTGTGTTTGTGTGTGTGTGTTAGCTGTGAGGAGAGCCCACAGGGGCTCACGTTGCTCCTCTAAATCAGCGCAGGAATGTTTCAGCAAGACTGCTGACGTCCATCTAAAGGGTTAACTGTTCCAAAAACAATCTCAGCAGTTTCTCTCACTGCCACAACTTTCTTATCTGGTTGTCTGTGTGTGAAAGGAAACATATGCAGTCTTTACCCAAAAAGATTTAACTCAATTAGTCACTCTCTCATTTTCTCAGTGATGTCATGTTTGACCTAGCTGCACCAGAAGACTGTGATTCTCACAGAGATTCACTCTTACTGAATGAACAACTGTCAGAAACAAATATTTCAGCAATTTAACTTGAGCTGTATGTTGCTGGTAGTCAACTTTTTCAACAAAAGGCAAAGTGTCTGTGCTCCCCTCTGTATGTTAAGATGGACACGTTTGATTTCAACTGATAGAACCTCCATAGGACAATTTAGAAACATTTCTCAAGTAACAAAACATGCAATGAAGAGTTGCAGATTACCAACAGAAATGTGAAACATTTTTGGTAAGTTGGTTATAGTCATGATCATCATTATCTAACATAATTTTGTTAGTAACAAAACTTGAACGGCAACTGTGTTCATGGGAGAGTTACCTTATTGTAGTACAGCATCCAGACCTCATACAGTCTTTCTTTGGATGCCATGGTGTGTCAGCAGCAGCAGTGGTGACGGCAGTGTCGGCAGCAGCAGCAGCAGCAGCAGCAGCAGCAGCAGCAGCAGCAGCAGCAGCAGCAGCAGCAGCAGCAGCAGCAGCAGCAGCAGCAGCAGCAGCAGCAGCAGCAGCAGCAGCAGCAGCAGCAGCAGCAGCAGCAGCAGCAGCAGCAGCAGCAGCAGCAGCAGCAGCAGCAGCAGCAGCAGCAGCAGCAGCAGCAGCAGCAGCAGCAGCAGCAGCAGCAGCAGCAGCAGCAGCAGCAGCAGCAGCAGCAGCAGCAGCAGCAGCAGCAGCAGCAGCAGCACACCTCCTAAGACCTATCCTGCCCACAGCAGTCACTTCACTGGCTGCTTCATGGTCTTTAGTCATGAGCTGAACCTCTGTTGCTGCTGATCTTCAGTGCTCAGTTCCATCCACCTCATCATCAGTGGGACACTGTCTGAGCTAGTATGAGCTGCTGATTTTACATGAGATGTTTTAATCCATGGTACAGAGAACTGAGCTCTACAGCATCCAATGATAGTCCAAGCACCCGTGACTCCACTTCTCAAGCTTCTAATTCCAGGACCACTTGAGGTGAATTGGACACCTCCTAAATACTAAATAGAAAAGAAATGAATTACTTAAGAGGGTCTGGTACAGAAACTAATCATTTTTTAGGTTTACAACAGGTGCTGCCAAAAGGCTGATTCAGAGACTACTGTTGACTCTTGGACAAAATGTCTGTTCATCTAAGTTTTCATGTGTTCATCTAAGTTTATTTTAAGGCCACCATTGGGAAAGCATATTAAATATTTTGTTTTTGCAACATGTTAAAAATGTTACTGGCTAACAAAATGTCATTTTTTAAATCAATTATGCTGTTTTTTGTGCCATTAGGATTATTATTTTCCCACGTTTGCCTTGTTTTAGACTAGTTTGAACAAAATGACAAAATCACAGCAAAAACAAAAAACAAAACAAAAAAACAGAATGTTGTTGCATTTGAAAATTAGAAGCTAGGCTAAATGAAGCTAACCGCAACAGCAGCTTTTAAAGTGGACTTTAAGCCTTAGACACACAGCATTTATAAATTGCATATTACTGTGAGCTTCACTAAGAAACTTAGAGGCTAACTGTCTACACCAGGAACAGCGCTTACCAGAAAAAGCGAATATGCTAAAGGCTAGCGGTTATAGCTAGCTGTCAAAAAAGATTATTCCTATTTATTTTCCTCCTCCTCTTCATGTGACGGTAGCAGCGACTCTCCACAACCTCCTGTCTGCGCAGGCTTCCCGGTCAGCCAGTGATAAAGCTCAGACAGAAGAAATTCGGAGAAATAGCTTTGCTTCTTACCTGTGACGACACAAATGGAGAAACAGCCGCTGTCACTGACTACTCGGCTCTAACAACACACGTACACACACTGTCCAAGACCGTACACAACACAGTACAATGTGAACACTGCGCTAACTGCTGCTGAGCTCCAGTGGCAAGTCCGCACTAACATAAACACGCGGATTTTCCTGGGTAGGCGTTTCAACATAAGAGCGCACTGCATGCACTAGATCTAAATTTTGGAAAACGTTTTATTACCCATAAAACAATATAAGATAAACATGGAATATTAAAAATGACGACATATGACAATTAATACGTTTTACACGGTAGTTGACCATGATTAATATTAAAGTATTTATATCAAGGATATTTAGTTTCCGGTACAACAATTTTATCAAGCAGCGCTTTAGGTTTTATTTTGTAGTTATATCAGGATGTTAGATTGTTACGAGTGGTAGAAAAGTCGTCGCCTCAGCGAGAACACGGGTTAAAATCGTTGCATGTCCTTGTATTTATGTTAAAATATATTTATCGGCACGAAAAGAAAAGGTATGTTTTGTGCACACTTAAATATAAATATTTTTTTAATAATATGACACTTACTGTATTTGCTACAGTCCCGTCTACTTTACGTGTCGATGTGGACTGTTGTCATTGCTAAGGGCTGTGCCTAGTGACGTAATACTACTTTGTTTTGATAGTGTGCTGCCATCAAGTGAATATACAAAGAACTACACCCTGTACATTACTTATTCCGTATTGTTTGATTATATTAATAATGTGATATTGCATATATTGTACACATACTGGTCACTTTATTGGGTACATTGGGATTAATGCTTGCCAATGTAAATATCTAATCAGCCATGGTCAAAATGAATACCAGAATTGAGAAATTAGGTCATAAAGAGACATGGCATGAATGTTGTCAGACTGGTCTCAGTATCTCAAAAGCTAAATTCACTAGGATATTACACACAATTGTTTTGGGAGGAAAATAGAGAAGCAGAATTTAAAAAAAAAACAATATTAAGCAGAAGGTCGATAGCAGCAGAAGACTACACTGTTAGGTCTCAGCTGTAATTAAGAAACTACTACCAGAGAGTGTATGTAATAGTCAAACTTCAGTGTATATGTTCAACCAGTAATTTAAAGTGAGTAAATCTCTCATTTCTATGTCCATATGTACAGGAGGATTGGGAACATTACAACATTAAGTATGGAGATAGGACTGACCACTGCATTAAACCTAAATTATTGTGGTCTGGAAGAAGTAATGCAAGATGCTGCATTGACTGATGTGGTAAGTGCCTATAGTTTGACAAGTACTTTTTTTTAGCTGGTGCCTGAGAATTTACTCATTTCCTGGTTTATCATCAATTCTTCACATTGTGTCATTTATCAAGACTTCACAGTTGCAGGATAGCACAAATTCCTTAAAAGTCAAACTTCTGCAACCACAGAGTTTGAGGGGAAAAAAAGAAAAAAAAGAAAAGAGAAAAACAAATCCTGTATTTGTCCATTGTTTTATTTCAGCTGAAACAAAGTCCAGGCATCTCACCATGGCTCAGCCACATACTGGTCAGAATATCCATCATTTCAAATTCAAACAAACCAAAACAATACTTTAGCAGATATCAGAGCCTAAAAGGAAATATACAATTGGACCAAAGAGCTTTTGTGGAAAGACAGTGTTTTATTCCATGTTTGATTTTCCAACATTAAATAGAACTTTGTTTATGATGACAGGACAGATACATTTGCATTTTGACATGTTTTACAAACCAAGTGCTCCTAACTCCAGAACGCAGCTCCTTCTCTACAACAGTACAGATTTTTTAAGAGTGCTCCTCAGCCAACTTCTCAGCCTTCTGAACAACTTCCTCAATGGGACCCACCATGTAGAAGGCCTGCTCAGGCAATGAGTCGTACTCACCTGAAAGAAAATATGTTTAATTTTGTTAAAAATTTCAGTCTCAACTGAAATACGAAGATACTTTCTTAACCATTTACTTTCAGTTAAAAATGTGTTTTCATCCACAGATAATCTGTGTAAGAACCTCAAATGGAGCTCCAGCTGTACTTTGACAGAATGTATACATCAGATTACATCAAGACCTCGATGCACTGATTTTAAAGGTGTCTTACCCCCCAGGATGCTCTTGAAGCCCTTGATGGTTTCCTTCAGAGGCACCAGTTTTCCCAAATGTCCAGTAAAGACCTCGGCCACCTGGAAGGGCTGGGACAGAAAACGCTGGATCTTTCTAGCACGGGACACAGTTAGCTTGTCCTCCTCAGACAACTCATCCATACCCAGGATAGCAATGATGTCCTGAAGTGATTTGTAGTCCTGCAGTTGGAGAAGGATAACAAAGGTTCCTCTTTGGTCCATCAACTGAAAGTGTTAGTTCTAGTTATAAAATGTTCACATCCCATACCTGGAGGATTTTCTGCACACCACGGGCCACATCGTAGTGCTCTGCTCCAACAATGTTGGGGTCCATGATACGAGAGGTGGAGTCCAGAGGGTCCACAGCGGGGTAAATACCCAACTCAGCGATGGCACGGGACAACACAGTGGTGGCGTCCAAATGAGCGAATGTGGTGGCAGGGGCAGGATCAGTCAGATCGTCAGCAGGCACATAAATAGCCTGATTGGGGGGAGCATTAATTAATTCTGGGTTAAATCAACATTTTATTTTAAAGCTTTTGAACAAAGTGGTTGCTGTACCTGCACAGATGTGATGGATCCCTTCTTGGTGGTGGTGATTCTCTCCTGCATGGTACCCATGTCAGTGGCCAGGGTGGGCTGGTAACCCACAGCTGAGGGGATACGACCCAGAAGGGCAGACACCTGACAAAGATACAGTCAGTTAAATATTATTATTGATCTTCATCCTTAAACCTCAAGTGAAAATATTTCTATGGGGTAAAACAAACCTCAGATCCAGCCTGTGTGAAACGGAAGATGTTGTCAATGAAGAGCAGCACATTCTGACCCTCCTGGTCACGGAAGTACTCAGCCACAGTCAGTCCAGTCAAAGCCACTCTGGCACGAGCACCAGGGGGCTCGTTCATCTGTCCGTACACCAGTGCCACCTAAAGGAACAAAAGAACAGATGTGAGCATCAGACAATAATCACAATCTTAAATGGTGTGTTTTTGAAAAATAGTCAATCTTAACCTTTGAAGTGGTGTCCTTCAGGTTGATGACACCAGACTCAATCATTTCATGATACAAGTCGTTTCCTTCACGGGTTCGTTCTCCGACACCAGCGAACACTGAGTAACCACCATGGGCCTTTGCCACGTTGTTGATCAGCTCCATGATCAACACAGTCTTTCCTACACCAGCACCACCAAACAGACCTGGAACCACAACAACAATATGACAAAAGTAGTTAAAAAACACCACAAAGCTGTGGTTACAGAGCTAATGTAAATTCTGGACATGACCACATTTAGAGGTTCTAGAACGTACCGATCTTTCCTCCCTTGGCATAGGGGGCCAACAGATCCACAACCTTAATGCCAGTAACCAGAATCTCCTGCTCCACACTCATGTCAGTGAATTCAGGGGCCTCTGCATGGATGGGTGCAGTTCTATGGGAAGTTAAAGTTAGTTAGTTATAAGTTTTAATATTTAAAAAAATAGCTAACTGCCTCAGTTTTTTTTTTAACTAAAACTTACTGCTTGGTTGAGATGGGACCCCTCTCATCAATGGGCTCACCAATGACATTCATAATCCTACCCAGGGTCTCAGGGCCCACAGGGATTCTGATGGGGGCACCGGTGTCCAGAACTTTCTGTCCACGGACCAGACCTTCAGTTCCATCCATAGCAATGGTACGTACTGTGCTCTCCCCTGATTGGACAGGATTCAAATTCAATTGGTTAAAGGTCTTTGACTAACAGCTTTGGAGATAAATATCCAAACAGCTCACCCAGATGCTGAGCAACTTCCAGGACAAGTCTGGAGTCACGGCCAGCCACCTCTAGGGCATTGAGAATGGGAGGGAGGCCTTCGTCGAACTGGACGTCGACAACAGCACCGATGACAGCCACGATGCGACCTGTGGCGACAATGGCAGCGGCAGCGGGGGCAACATAGTTTCTGCCTGAAATGTAATTAGCATATAAAGTTTTATTGTGCAGCACAGCCTACCAATGATTCCAAAGAAACAACTATTGCATATAGTCCACAGACAGCAACTGATAAGACAAATAATGCTAAATCATAAATCTAGTCCTTTATAAGAGCAACTTGAGTCAGGCCTTTATAAATTTGGGCCAATGCAAGACCTTGGTCCTTGGAAGAATGAATATTAACAGCAAACATGCATGTTCCCTAAATTCATTATAAACTGTGAATTATAGCTGAGTTCATATTAAAACTGTTTCTGAATGCGTTTCCATTGCGTTTGTATTAATGCAGCATGTGGAGTTCTTATTTTGGTCAAAGTAATACAGGACTGACCCACAACTGCATGTCGAGTCTCAATGTCAAGCGACTATTGTAGCCTTAAAAACAATGCGTTTCTAAAATTGTAGCTCAGTTAAAATAATTGTCCAACACATTCATAGTGTGCAAGTGTTTATACAAAGAGAAAATTACCTCACGTTTTTTAAATAGACCGATAAGATGAATGAAACGTACGCCAAGCTAATTGTGCTAATGCTAAGTAGGACTGACGCAGGACATTGAATGACTTCTATTTACACTACACCTTCTCAAGCCTAATAGAGTATCGTCTTTGACATACTTAACATACTTTTAGATACTTAATGATGCAGGCCGTTACGTTGCTTTTGAATATTATTTTTATATTATTTTGAGTTTCCTGTTTAACGATGAGCTTGCCCTGCTAGCTGACAGGCAGCGCCTCATGTCATTACACAAAGGTCATTGCCGTCAACAGCAGGAAAACCCAACCGAAGCTTTCATTGTTAAATGACAACGGTTTACAAAGCAACATATAAACACGAGTGTGGAACGGATACGTTCGTATTGTCCAAAAGAGTGTCAAATCTGACACATAAAACTTGTCCGGCCTGCAGTAGCGCCGTTTAGCCAGCGTGTTACTAGCATTAGCCGTGGTTAGCTCCGCCACTGCCCTCTTCCCTGTTAACCGTTTAGAAAGTGTGTTTTTTTCCTAATTTTTTCTTTGTGCATGCAGCACTTACGTGAAAGCACAGCCGGAGAACCGACGAGGGCCTTGAGGGGCTGGGCTCCAGGCCTGAGAGCCTGCAGAGCCCCGGTGCAGCAGCGTCCCACAGCTCCTAACATGGTCAAAATGGCTGAAGGTGGAAAGAGACGGAGGAAGCGGCGGCTTTATAATGAATGAGAACCTATTTCTACCACGCATGCGCGTGACGTTACGCTAGTTCCGCGCATGCGAAGACATGACCGGGATGCTGTTCTACATAACAGTTCCTTCTGACCAAAGACATTCCGTATTAAAGGTTAACGTGGACATTCAGAGCTGTTCATTATTAAATGTACTCAGTCAATTTTTATTATTCGTAGTAAAATATATCAAATTACCTTCTCTAATTTCCGGCCAAACTTTACCTATGTTTGATCGTTTACTAAAAATATAAAATAAAATCAAAATATCACACTACTTCTACAATAACAACTACTACTACCACCACCACCACCACTACTACTACTACTACGACTACTCCTAGTATTGCCATTTTACTACTTTTACTGTGTATATAAAACACGTATAATTAAAATTATTTGGCTCACGATAGTTTTAAGTTGTTAAAATGTTAAAAAGTGCGGATTGATATAAAACTAATTTATAGTCTGCAACTGTGTCTGCAGCGTAAGCAGCAGGAAAAAGGACTACTACAAAAATTTAAGTAAAAACAAGGTCGGAAAATCAAATAAGCCCGAATTAAAGTGGTAGATCAACTGAATGTACACTAGATGGCAGTGTTATACCAAGAGAAAGGAAATAATGAGTTTTATACGTCAGATTTATGTCGGTTTAAATTCAAAGCACTTCCTTCAAAACCGTCAACCTTCCTTAGCAATAGCTAACAATAGCTGTATTTTTTATTTCTCTCCACCACATGGTTAGATTTTCTAATATGTCAAATCTTCAATTTTTATGCTTTCGTAACATGAAACACCCAGGATTAAATTTGATGACATCTAGTGTTTTAACTGCAGACTGCAGACTCGCCTTTCTGTCATTTGGCAAAATGGCATTGAGCAGATCAAATTGTCTCATCTACTTTTAGAAGGAGATCTAGGAAAACATTCACAAGTTAGAAACAATTGATTTTTTTTTTGGGAGGGGAGGGGGGCAACATGTGGCAGTAATATATTAACTGATTCGATCACAGTTTTACATTATATAGGGTACACAGAAAAATCTTATTTGCACTCAAATTTTTCAATTTTTTCTAGACTTTATACACAATCTATAACATGTACGTTTCTCACTTGTTTTCCATGTAACAAAATATACACTATAATGGTCAAACACACTTTACTTTAACTGAGATTAGGCACCTAGGAGATTAGTGGCACCTCTCGTGTTCTCCCTTGGAACCACCACTGTATACTTTAGTATCATGTAGAAAAGGCTTAAAAAGTATTGTACTGCATGTGTTGGATGTTAATAAAATGACTATAGATGGGTTGAATATAAACCTCCAAACCCACAGGTCTACAGGTGCAGACACATCTCCACTGGTCTGTGCAAACACAGCACATAGTTGAATTAAGCACTGAATAAATGCCCTGAAGTGAAGTGAGACGAATGATGACTGCAGCAGATTACTTCGTTTCATCGGTCCATTTGCTTTATGTGTGCTGATGTGCCAGGGTCAACACTAAATTGTCACACGTGTGTTCACCACAAAGAAAACAAAAGTATGCAGCTGATCAGGGTAATGCCCGTGTAAAATATAAATAATGAGCACATACATCATAGTATAAGTATATATTAGCACTATGTTAACACAGTATTATTTAAATAACCTCTGTGTAAAATGTCCAGCCAGACTTTAGTAGCAAATCAGACATGTTTGTCTGTAATATGAGCAACAAACACAGGGTCAGACATTATACATGTCATTACAAGGAACTGAACCAATAACAGCAGAGAAGTTCCTAAAACGTATCTGAATGCTATCAGCAAGAGAGTAAAAAATGGAAAATAGCAACAAAATGCGAGTTTGAAGAAACAGTCTCAGCTGAAAGATTTTTAACAAATTATAAAGTGATGAATCCTTAGAGAGAAAAGAGCTATAGCTGTACCAAAAAAAGAGATACAACCATCTGTGAGTCCTTCTCCATATTGTTTTTACACTACAGTGAAACGTCCTGTAAGGCAGACATGATGGTGAGGTCATTTGACATCTCCAGCCCTTTGAGTCTGGGTGCAGCTCAGTGATTGGACCAAATGAGTTCACAGAAGAACGAGAGGCAAAAAAAAAGACAAGAACGGACAAATTCAAACTCAGCAGGAGCTGCTGTGCTTCCTATTTTAACTTACTTTATCTATCACCAAAATTAATGAGGACCCATGGTGTGACCCAGTCTTAGAACCCTGGAGGATATGAGACAATTACCCTCAAAATACTACTTACTCAAGATATCCAAAAGTTAGCAAGAGACAGGTAGGAAATCACATTAGAAGGAGCTAATGGGAAAAGTAAGGCATAAAAAAGTAAGGTGATCAAAGATTGACGTTAGCCGGTCAGAAGTTATCAAAAGAGAGCTAAATATATGGCCAAAATTGAAATCAGAATTATACTGTACCAGAGATAGGTAATAATCACAGTGAAGACATTGGCTGTGGGCAGTCACATATATATGGTGAAGGGAGAAAAATCTAGCCAAGCAATAATCTCTCCATATTCATTAAGTTACAGTTAAAGGAGAGCTAAAACTTCACAGAAAAAAGAGACATTTTGTGAAATAATTATTGTCAATGACAGGACAACAGTTGCTTCTAGATACGTAATAAAAACGGGACATCACGCTCTGCTACACACTACAGTTGAATATCTGTCTCTTAGATGGAAATAAAAACATTAACATTATAAATAATGTCAAATCACTCAAACCCATGTACACCAGGATTAAATATGTTTCATTCTCTTTCTCTTCCACTATTTCCCTTTTTTTAGGTGTTTGTTTGAGGTTTTTACACCCAGGTTACGTAAAACAAAATATATACTTCCTCTTCAGCCCTCATTCCTTTCAGATTGCTCTGTGGCCGATGAGCTGTAAAACATTTTTTTAACAATCTTTTCTGGAAGAGGAATAAAAGAATCCCTCTTGTGATTTCTAATAGTTGGGTTTGCCTCTGTACTGTAACCAGAGATTAAAAGAACAAGTTTAGCCTCATAAAAATGAAATGTCACAGGAAGGATACCTGCAGGCGCTGGGGAAATACGTGGAGTCTCATGGTTTGGTTTTCCATCCTCTTTTAGGGAAGTATTCACTCATTAACACTGAAAATCATAACGCAATTTATACTGAGTAAAATGAATAGAAAATCCTGTGGAGTGAGTTAAACCAAAGTGCAGGCCTGAAGAGCATCAAGTGTGGAGAAGATTCTGAATGGACTGGATCTCCCCTGGAACTGGACTGAAATGTACAAAATGTCTGCCCTCGGCTTCATCAAAGAACAACCTGGAGGTTCTGGGGAGAGGGAGGAGCCCTCTCTCTGTGCCTTGACCTTGAACAAAGTCTCTAAGCTCTTAGATCAGACACAAAAGTGACAAGTTTTCCCATGAAGACTAGTTTCAAACAATAGAATATTTCCCATGAGTCTTTGCTCTGCTAAAGCAACACGCTACATGAAGCAGACGGAGTCGAGGCTTCTCTGAGTTGGTCCATCTGTCAAACAGAACATTCTTGACTGACAGCTCACCTGTCCTTGCTTTTTAGTCACAGAGAAGGCCATAAAACACACACACACACACACACACACACACACACACACACACACACACAGACTGGTCGTCAGAATGTGATTGTACCCCAGCATTTTATGGTCACAGACTGTTGCGTGGGATTTTACGATGACAGGAAACGAGAACAATAACCATTTTCTGGATATACGAGACTTTTCCTCTGTGCTAACAGTAAGAATAGGTTTTCATGGCAATGACTCTGAATAATTCTCTCTCACATCTGGCTTTGAAGAGACAGTGTTCTGTTAATCTACACAATCTGAGTTTACACAGAGAAAATTCATTTTGACACAGTCTGTGTCTTTGGATGCCGCGTGGACGGACGTAGTATTCAAATGTGTAACAAATGTGTAACTCTAACTGCAGTGAGACTATCTTTAAAAAATCAGAAGTGTCATCATCAGAGGGATGCCAGTCAAGAGAAAACCTTCAGCTTCTCTTCCTGTGAAATATTCATTCTAATCATGAAGTTTCATTTCAAAGAGCAGATTTAAAAAACTAAAAGTACATTTTTATTGCAATTTTCATGAAAAAAAATCCCAAGATTTTTATTATGTAACATATTTTTGAATGTATTGAATGTATTATTTTTGATAATGACTATTATCTTCGTGTTGCTAACGCAAAAAGTAAAAAGCTATAGAAAAGAACTTTATTGCATTTAGGCTCCAGGCCTCGTATGTTTACAGTAAATCAAAACCACAGAGAAAATAAACCACATGCTCCAGTTGTTGCCACAGGTGGAACCTGGAATGTTGTCTTTGCAAGGTGTGTTGCCTGAAGGTAAAAGAAAAACAAAACGTCTGGTCCAGAAAGTCTGTACAAGAAAAGAAAATAATAGGGGATGGAAAATATTGACGTGATCTGCAAGGCTATGATTAAGATTATGATTATGATCCGATATGACCTTTGGTTTCTTCCCAATAATATTAACTTGTCGGTGCAAGAAAATTATCTATAATAACCCAGAACAGAAATTAATAGAAAGGCAATGGTTAGCTAACTATTAAATGTCATTTTCTTTTCTCTGTCATCAACCTGTGGTTAGCCAACACACATCACTTTCACAAATATAAATAAATAAAATTCTGTCCTTTATCCCCCTAAACTGCTGCAGATGATCAGATGTACTGTATTTCATCTGTTGGATCTAATGTTAAAAGATCAACATTAGAGAAGGAAGAATATCCATTGTGCAGGTTTTTTAGTAGTTTTTGTAGTTGTAGCGTTTGGAAATGTTAGATAGGGACCTCCTCAGCTGCAGTTGAAGCTGCCGTATGATATGATATATAAGAACCTCATAAATTAAGCATGTCTAAAATATAACTTTTCTGTCAGTAAGATGACATCAACCTGTATCAGAGTTCTAGCGTTACAGACCAATTGAAATGATTTTTCCCAGAGGATCCTTTTACTGTGTCTGCTTTAAATAAAAACCTGGATGAAAAAAAGATGTTCTGAAAAAGTGTGTGTGCGTGCTCAGTCCTGTCCTGCTACGGGATTTCTCTCACACACACTTCACCCAAAAATGGGAGTGATCTTTAAAAAAAAAGGGCTGTTCCCTCTCTTCATTGACTGAACACAGAATGGTTCCACACTTTGGCTCAGGACTTTCAAAATCAGGCCGGTCCTTCACTGCTGTCGCTCCAACTCCACAAACTCTCCATGACTTTGAACCTAAAGGGCTCGGACTTATAACAACACTGGAAGAAGAATTTTTGGTTTTTCAATTTTGGGTCTAAATCACTGCCAGAAGATCAGGTTGTAAATCTGAGTCAGCAGAACTGTGAGTTTTGAACATTTGCATTTCTCTGTTCTCTGTAGATGGAAATGAAAGGTGAAAATCTTTGTGTGTGTCTCCACGTTTCTCCTAGGAGAGTCATGGGCCCCTCACGACTGGGGCTCCTGCTGATGCTCCTCCTCTGGGGGCCACACTGTTTTCAGGCTCAGGATTATGAAGAAGATTATGAGGAGGAGGTGGTGATACCAAAGAAGAAGAATAAACTGCATTCAACCAATTCTATTCCACAAATTAGCAAATGTGAGTCCGAATCCAGTAGTTTGAACTGGTTATAATGGCACCATTTGTTTTGGCTCCTTTTTTAAAAACAAATCCATTTTATAGACCATGAAACAATTTAACACAGCTGCAAATACTATGCTCCACTAGCCACATTAGCTACTTTGGCTAACTTTAAGGTCTGCTGCTACCATTAAAAATTATATTTTTTAATATTAAATTTATATTTATTTTGACCTGCTTCTCCTACATTGCTGCCGTACGGCAAATGTTTGAGTTTTCTTCTTTTTTGTATATATTTTGCCATGTTTTGCTAGTATTAAGCAACTTTGGATGAACTATAATTTATAATGTGATTAATAATTAGCTTAATCTATTGACAGTTTTTCTTTAAATTTGCCATTTATCTGTGCCATAATCAGCTGTATGTTTGACAGTCAGTTTGCTGTTTGGCTAATTCAAAGGTAACCATCTCTCTTTTGATTAAGTTGCAACTCTCTTTGAAACTTTAAAATTGTAGCAGAGAAAAGTGTGGAAATTTTCAGCGCCACAGGTGAAGATGATGCAGTGCAGTCAGACTGATGCTATCTCTCAGACACAACCATTCATCTTCTGAGTGACTGACTGACTCCTCAAATATTTGATTCTACCGCACTCCTGTTTCCTCCGGCACATTTTCTTTCTCTTGCTCTGACATATTTCTGACGGGATCAAGATGATTTATCTTTGATTATATCACATCTTCAATCTACCTTTATATTTATTCCAAAATTACTTGTCAAATTCGTGATCCTGTAGAGCACAAATCAGACAGGACCAAAGTCTGACCTTGGGGACACCTTAGACCACTGATCTAAAACTTCTTCCAAAAAGTTATGATTTTTGGGAATTTCCAGGATGGATTTATGTTTTTTGTTGTATGTTGCATCACGCGTTATCTCTGCGCTAGCTTAGCTCAGTATTAGTACCAGGAAATATGGACCATACAGTACCAAAGTATTTGGACTACTTTTGGCAGCGAAAATTTCCATCTTTGTTGTAAAAACTATCACCTAATTTTTCAACAGCGTGATGAAAGTCCACACAGTCATTAAAGGTCATGAGTCATGAGTTGATTAGGAAGAGCTTCAGGTTCAGTACCTGGTACCTGGAAAAGTGGCCCAACACACCAACAGTAATGTCTCATTGGTTTTTTCTGCTCATACAGTACATTTTTCTCTTTTCAGCCCTGATCGACGAGGACTGTGGTCTGGAGATCTCCTTCCTGATCGACAGCTCTGAAAGTGCCAAGGAAAACCACGCTCAGGAGAAAAACTTTGTCACAGATGTGATGGAGCATCTTCAGGGCCTGCGGCTGCAGACAGGTCGTGGCCTCAGTTCCCGTGCTGCGCTCCTGCAGTACAGCAGCCACGTCATCGTGGAGCAGACCTTCAAACAGTGGAGAGGCATAGACAACTTCAAGGCCCACGTCGCTCCCATCGTCTACATCGGCCACGGCACCTACACAACCTACGCCATCACCAACCTCACTCGCATCTACCTGGAGGAATCAAACACCAACAGCATCAAGGTGGCCGTGCTGCTCTTCGATGGTATCTCCCATCCCAGAAACCCAGACATCTTCTCAGCTGTGGCCGATGCCAAGAACCAGGGAATTCGTTTCTTCACCATTGGCATAACCCCTGAGGCCAACGAGGCAACCAACATGGCACAGCTGAGACTGATCGCTAGCTCACCTGCTACCCGCTATCTTCACAACCTGCAGGACAAAGGCATCGTACCAAAAATCATGAAGGAGATTGTGAGTGAATTTTTACTTTTTTCAATCAGTTTTGGTCATTTTGAGGATTAGGATTTAGGATTTGTCCTAAACAAATATACAGCAAATCCTCATCGGCCAATCAACATACGGTATATCATAAGTTTTCTTTCACTGAATGGTCCTGAGAGGAGGGACTCAAACTGGTTTCATGTACATTCAAAATGAGATGACCAATATTAAAAGAGTCATAAAGTGCATCAAGACAGTGGACATATGGCTCCCCTTAGTGGTACATGGGTGAATCTGATTTTAATGAGAATTAATTGAGTCACTTACTGCAGGTGGTAAATACAGCCGTATATATTCTTTCAGTCTGTCTGTGCATGTCAGTAATTTTGTGTAGTTTTAGATGTAACTGCCAGTTGCAGTGTAACACTGCTGTACAGTGTGTCTCTGACTCATAAAATGACCAGTAACCTCATTAACAAAAGTACCTGTGGTTGGAGACGTCTGATCTAATCACAAACATTCTCTCAGCTCTGGATCATGTGGAGAATTAATGCAAAGGACCCCAGCCCCATTCATCTCCTCTTAATTATGAATTACTGTAAAAAAAAATGAACCAGAACAGTAGCTTCTTAAAGTAGCCAGTGGACAAAAAAGGAGAACCTGAAAAAAACACAAAAAGTTTCTTCAGACCACAGCATCTGAGATGAAGGTTTATTTCCTCAACATCTTCTGAGGATTCTTTATGAAACACAGGTTCTGCCTGTTGTGGAGATGAAAGTCTGTCTCAACTCTAGCTGCTGCTGATCATATTGATGCTGCTGCTGCTTAAGACCCTGGTTGTGAGCTTCAGTATGTGACTCTTAAACATTTTCTCTTCATCATTTCTGTCGGTGCCTCTCCTGTCAACACTGGTTTTAAAGTGAAATTTCAAAGATCTGCTTGAGTGCTGATTGGTGCACCAACGTTCCCTTCTTCCTGCATCGGATTTTCACACACAGCTTTAACGCGGAGCACATGTAGAAACATAGCAACAGCTCGTTTTCGGCTGGGAGAGCCGATGTGCAGCATATGTTTGGATCCCTTCACTGTGAGAGCGTTGAGCAGCTTTGGAGCAGTGACTTCAAATAAATGTTGTTTCGCTTCCCCTCACACATGTGTGGCCGGATTAGAATCCAACAGCTTTAAATGGAGATTTGAACGGGGCATTTTCTTTTTTATTGCTATGACTTTGAGAGTGAGGAGAATGGAGGTGTTTTGGCAGCAGGTGTAGGAGACGGAAAAAGCCAGAAGGATAATAATAATGATAAGGCAGAGGCTGAAATCAAAAACGGCTGAGCGGATGTTCTTGTTGGGTTATATAAAGAGGTCAAAGCCATTAAAATTTCAAAACATTTGGCAAATCCGGCCTGCATTTTAATAAAGTAACAGTGAAGAACAATCTGCCCTCTGGTAGTCAGCTGTTGAGATGCCAAAGACATGTAGAGACACTCACAGGTAGAAGTGGTTACAGTGCGTTACTGTACACAAGTGGGAGCACATTTTCTGAGCACCAGAAACACATTAATGACATCAAGTCAGCCAAATGCAATATCTCACTATAATTAAACCACATTATCGATGAAACTGTTGAAGGATTTATACAATCTAACAAAAATATCTTCACATTAAAATTATTTACTGCCAAAAAAAGGATCCAGGCTGTACTTTTATTGATGGAGATGCAAAAACAATTTAAATCAAGTTCATTTTGTTCACAGTATCGAAAAACATTTAACACATTAACACATTTTTTTCAAAGTTATGTTTGTTAGTTATTAGTTTAGAAGACTGCTATGTAACTAAGAAACAAACACCTAATGTTGAAGCTGAAAATAACAACATTCTTTACTGTTTGCAGTTTGTCTAAATTATTGGTTTCCAAACGGTTCCAGCAAATTTGACAAATCTGAAGAAGTCTTTGCTTTAAAACATCACCGCTCTTTATAACACTGTAATTCCTCACAAACTGTGATTCTCTCAGAACAACAGTAATAAAATGAAAATAGAGGGTCAACACCCCCCCCCCCTATAAACCACTGGTCTAATGCCATCATATGTTTTGTATTTATGCTCATCTTTGTACAAGCTTTTAAAAAAAAAAGCTTTATAAAGAAAAGTTTACTGACTTTAACCAAACAGATGGTTTGTATATGGTCTGAGGGGAATTTCCCTCTTTAATAAAGTGTGTGGTCAGCTTTGAAGAAAAAAGAAGCGAAGAAGAGAGATTTGGTCAGAATGGTTGACTTGATGGTGTTTAAGGAAGTACAGCATGACAGAGAGACAGTCAGATGTGGCCCACATGATGGGAAAGAGACCAGCAGGAAGGAAGTGATGAAGGACATTAGAATGGTGAGTAGGGAGATACAGTAGGATCGTAGGAAAGCAAAGACAAATGAGGCAGGTAGAAAAATCCCAGCATCCATCAGGAGAGGTTGGGTTACACTCTGGATGGTTGAACTGTCAATCACAATGCCACATATAAAGGCAAACAACCACTTCCACTCGTGTTTACACCTACAGTCAATTAAGAGTAAACAACTAATCTTATTTTGAAACCAGAATACTTAGAAAAATCCCACACTCACAAGAGAAAATAGAGACTCCATAACAGGGTAAATTTGTAAGAAAAATGTTTGGCAAAAAAGAGATTCTGGAGTATTAGAGATATCCAATATTGTGTTATGTCCAAAAACATAATTTTCAATTTTGATACAGGCCTGGTAATATTTATCTATTATTGAGTATGGGGTTCATTAAATGAGCTGCAATGCTGCCATCTAGTGACTTTCACTTTAATATACAGCCGTTTTTCCCAAAAACTATTTTAGGGCACACATCATTTGGGGAAACCCAGACATTGGTTATCGGGTTTTCATTATCAGAAGAAAAAACGAAAACGATTCTTACATAGATATTACATAATATGCTAACATCGGGCCATCCCTCACTAGTATGTCAGGAATTTGGAAGATTTGTAGACAACGCTGTAGGTAATTAAGAGACAAATTAGAAAGGAATAAAGTAAGGGAAGGGAAGTAAGAAGGTAATAAACCAGGTTGTAGGCTGATGTAAATGTTAGGTTCAGAGGTGAAGTAAGTCTGTGGTTGGTAGGAGGCTAGGTAGAAAGATAATATGAATGAAGAAAGATGAGAAGAATGTCAAGCAGGTACGTACAGTAGGAAGGTAAGAAAGCATTTAAGTAGTAAGGTAGATGGGAAGCAAACAAAGGATAAGACTGAAGAGCATGAGATGATAATGTGTCCTGGTGAGGTCTGACCTCCACCTTCATCTTCATCTTCACCAGTTCTAACCACTGCCCTGTTTTTCTTCTGTTCTTGTTTTGTAGACGGCCCTGGCTGATGAAGGAGTAAGTCCGAAGATGGCGCTGTGACTGAAGATTGCCACATTTGTCTTCCCTATGACACCTGTCTGACTCTTCTTTAACCTTTAATCTCTGTTTGTAGTGTCCTCTGGCCCAAAGCAAGTGTGCATGTGAGAAGGGGGAGAGGGGACTAAGTGGACCTCCTGTGAGTATCTGACCCATACAAGTCTTAAGCTAACACTTCATTGCTAGCCATGGTATCAGCTAACAGTTGTCATGGCTAATGTATGGTCATGGCTAATAGTTTGTCTTGACATATAGCTGGCAGGTCAAGCATACATTTTTTTCCTTGACATCCATGACTTGACTTGTCAAACTGCAAAGCCTTGAAGCCAAAGACTTTCACTTACAATCAGGAACTGGGTCTTTGGATTCTTCAGCCAGGGAAGATAACCTGTAGTCCCACGGTCTTATGGAGCAGGAGCGTGAGAGCAGACTGTCAATGAAAATTCTCGCCTGTTTGGATTGGGTGGATGACACAACCCCCCACAGTCTGGCAGACATGTCACGGTGTTTGTACAGCATCCTCCTGAACTGTGGGGAACAACAGTGGCCGTGAAGCCACAGACTGACAGAGTGACTCCAGCAGAAGAAACTGGACTGAGAAAAGAAATTCTGCAGCAGTTTTTATCAGACGTGGCCAAAGTCACTGAGAACGAAACAGACGAAAAGATCAATATCAACATAATGACACATAATAGGTTCAGAGCCGAGTCTTTGATGACAGTGTTTCTGGGAGACAATCACTCCTACAGAACCACATCAGAGCTTCCAGAGCTGCTCTTGATGCTAAGTGACTGAATAATTGCCGGGGTTTTTGGGTCAGCTTTAGTAAATCACCGTATTCTCTTTAGTGGCTGGTGTTTCCCTGCAGCAGTGAAAGTTAAAAACCCTAAAATGCCTGACATTCCTCTGTAGGTTTACTGAGAACAGGCCTTAACACGGATTCGGATCAGAAATGGTCGGAATGGTGTCAGTGGGAAGAGAAGCCAGAGGCTTCTGGGATTGTGTGAGGACACACGCTGAGGAAGAGCCTGTATCTGAGGGTTTTCTTTCTACGTTCTTCTCATGACATCGAAAAGTTCAACCACATCATAGGCAGGGTTGTTTTTCATGTGTGTTCATGAGACCAGAGAAGAATAATTCATTCCACTTCCAACTTTTACTGCAACTCCAACAAAAAGCTGTTTGACATCAGGAGCAGCGGGACATCACTGACGGATCTCCAGACTTCCTGTTCCCACACTCACTGGCCTTTGTCCATTATGGATTACTGTACTTTAATGGATTTAATGGCTCCGCTTGGCAATCCAACGGCAATTATTTCTCTCTATATAATGAATAAAAATAGTTTTCTTCAAAGGCATTACCGTTTTATAAATTAAATTAGCTACAGCTAAAAACATTCACACGATCAGCATTTTTCTTACAGGGTAAAAAAGGCCGTCCTGGAGAGGATGGAATTCCTGGTGCGAAAGGTCATAAGGTAAAAAGAAGTCACTAAAAATGAAAGATAAAAAGTTACAAATCAACGTAGTGATGAAAGTAATTTGTTTCTTTTAGGGTGAGAGTGGATTGAGTGGATTTCCAGGTCGAGAAGGAGCAGAGGTAAGATCATTCAAATCAAATAAATAGATACATGATCATTTGAATTAAGTAAAAACTCAACTAAGACAAAAAGATAAATACAGTATATTCAGATGGAGCCAAGTGTTCCACAGAGGAAAATAAAGGACAGATACAAGATAGCCATTAAATATAATAAGTTAAAATAGAAATACTTCAAACCCGGCCTAAGATACAGCTCAGAATTAGCCAAAAACAATAGCTAAAAGTGATGGTGATCTTCACTGTTGGACTCACTGGAACTGTTTTGTTCACACAGGGAAAACCAGGATACAAAGGAGAGAAGGTACTGTACGGATCTTGATCTGGGTTTTTACTAAGTCCCTGTGTACGTTGTTCCCATGCTGCTGTGTGAAATCCACAACAGAGAGAATTATACTTTCCAGACACAGTGTGCATGTGTACACACACACACACACACACACACGCACTAGTCACAGTCCTTTGTTCTGCTGTTTCATCTGTCTTCATGTGGAATGTGTCTGAAAGTGGCTCTAGTTCAGACGTCTATGAAACACTTCAGCTTCAGAGCTCAGCTTTGCTAAAGTAGCTGATGTAAGCTAAAGATAATCTGGTATCCAGTGTCGTTTAACACTGTCAACCTAAAGTTATTGGTGAAAACGTAAAAATAAGTACTACCATAAAATCAAAGATTTACAAACAGGTGTGATAAATAGATAAGAATTAGCCAATGGATTAGTCAAGCTAACAGCTTCATTAGTTCATATGCAAAAATAATGTCAAAAACCTGAATTTTGAATTACAGTTAGCAGAACTTAGACAAAAATTGACTCAAATGAAAACAAATCCCAACCAGTTAGCTTCAGTTAGCTACAGGGCTAAGCATTACTAATCCAAGAATCAAATCAAGATGTTTTCTTGAATGTTAGCCAACAATACAGCAAAACAATAACACATTTAGTCTTGAACTAACTTATGACTAATTGAATTCTTGAATTGATTTATATTCTGCCCTAAAAGCTTCCTCAGTATAAACTCAAGTGATATTTGAAAATGAGGCATTTTAGAAAAAGCGGACAAACTGAAAGTTAGCAAAAATCAAATGAAATGTTCGCCAGATAGATATCTCTGGGCCACAAATGACCCCAGTCACCAAATAAAAAAGTTTTTTTGGAGTACATTTGAAATATGTTTCACAGCCACTTGAATGTTGCTAGTATTCAAAATGCACGGCATCAGCGAACCTGGCTGTTCAAAAAATATTTTATTTTGTCTCAGGGAGAACGAGGAGAGTGTGGAACGCCTGGAGTTAAAGGAGAGAAGGTCTATGTCTTAAATTTAAATTAAATTACAATAATTCTATGTTAAAATTGAATTATTCTCATCGACTACGTTTGTTTTTCTGACAGGGTCCTGAGGGTCCCGTAGGAAACAGAGGAATCCGTGGACTGCAGGTAAAAAAATCTTCAGAATTAAAAAAGTCAAACCTTTTCTATGGTTTGGTTGGTTTTACATTTTTAGCTATTTTGGGCTTTTATTTTAGCTTTAGTTACAGGATAATTGCACTGGCAGGATATGAAAAAAAATATTTCCAGTAACCAAACAATTGTTTTTTGTTTTTTTTTACCACTCCAGGGTTTGCCTGGACCCCCAGGTGATGTCGGACCTGAAGGAGTGATCGGTAAAAAGGTACGTTTTCTTCAGTGTTGGATAAACATAATTGTGCATATTTACTCACAGGGAACAAAAATGTGTTTATAAATAATTAAGACCTAATTCCCTCCTGGAATTCCAGTCATTTCTCCTCAGCTAAGGCCTTGAGTTGGGACAGGAACCCTTGTTTATCCCCTGAGGTGCTGTGTTTGCAGAGACCACCACGGTTATAGACGGAGTATGAGGCAGACGAACATCTGCACTGGTTATTGTCTGTGTGAAAACACAATGGATGATCCATTAACATGTGGACAGAATTAGGTTTGACAGTTTACTTCTGGCACTGAGACGTGTTCTGATCTGGATGGGTCTCCTGGGACTGTATGAGATCAGGCCTGGCTCCACTTGTGTTAAAATACAGTGAGACCTTATGTTCTGCAGCACTGATGAGTCTGATGTCACACGTGATGATTAATCAGCAGCAATCATCGATGTCTGTACTTTGAGAAGTGAAACGATCGAGTGCAGCAGCAGTGGGTCAGAGGATGTCAGCTGATGTCCTCGATCATGAACAGGTGCTAAGACATTCACCTTGGAACATTCGGCTTCCTCTTCATCAAATAAATGTTGAAATAATACCTCTTATATTATCAAAGGTTCTATCATTACAGATCAGATTTTCTTTCTCCCCAGTTCATATAGAAGTGGAGCATATTAAACCCTACTGAGGCTCAGCTTCAGTTGGTGTCTATGAGGCAGACACTCAATAGCACTTTCACTGAAATGAGTGTAAGTGCTGGGCTAGAAAATGTATTCAGAGAAGTTCCTCAGCACCGAGGAAATTCCTTGGGATTAGAAAATAGAACACGTCAAAAAAAAAAGGTTTCTCTTCACAATATAATAAACCTGTAGGCTACATCCTGTGATTTTTTTTTTTAAAGTAAGACACCAGAAACAACCAACGATGCAGCATGAAGATTTCAATTTCTTCTTCAAATCTCCCTCAATTCCCAAGAACTGCGGGATGTCCAGATGGTCCTGGAACACTAAGAACAGATGTTAGTTCCAAAGAAGGAACTAAAACATGTTTTTTTAACCCCATTATTTTTTCCTCCATGAGTGAATTCATTTAGAGCCCTAACCTGACCTCCTCCACCTCTGCTGTCTGAATCCATCCGTCAGAGTGGAGTTACGATCTCAAACCAGATGTACTGTATATCAGACAGACTCTGACTCTGTCGGTCGGACACTCGAGGCCTGTTCTCCGCTGGTTTGAATTAGAGCAATTTTTATGGGTCAATGATTCACAAACATGGCGAATAACCTCTGCCAACCTGTGTAACTGCACAGGTGAGAATTTATGTTCACCATGTGTGAAAGGGGTCGATGGTACGGTACTGTTCTTCTGAAGTGTTTTTTTTAGTCTGGATGTTCCTAAAAATCGAGGAAGTGTCAAGGAAACATTGGGACAGCGTTGAAAAGCGTTTTGCCCTGGATAGTCGAGTTAATTTGAGCTACATTTCTCACCTAACAGTTAGCTATTGTTCAGCTAATTGGGCTCATTTTTTGGTAAACATTAAGATATTAATGCACATAATTCATACAAGTTTGGCCTAACATCAATATTGTTGTCTAGTCTTTTTCCAACTTCAGATATTTCCACAGTTGTTTTCTTTACTAACTTTGACTACTTTGATAGTTTTGCTGATAATTTCCCAGCATTATGTTTTTTTTTTTTTGTTCTCTACAAAGCTAATTGTAATTGTTGGGCTTTTTTAGTTTATTTAAAAAAAAAAAAAAAATTCAAGCTGCATAATAATGATTCAAATCCACCGACTCAATTGAGTTGGAGTTTTACATCGTTTTCTTGACACAGATTGTATTGATCATAATCATGAAAGCTGATTTAATTTGATTACTCATGATTGATTGTGATCAATAGTATTAATAATATTTTGACCTGCCACAGTGATCCGTCAACAGTGAAACTCTGGACTCTCCTGTGGTGCAGCTGCTCTGTTATTAACTTGTCAGCCTATTTGTTCCTGCCTCTACTTTCTTCACTTTTTACAACCAGTTCCTCCTCTGTGGTCCCACAGCTGCCAGTCTCTGCCATCAACTCGCACCACTGACTCTTCCCTCCCTAATTAT